AGGCAAACAGGGTGAAGTGACTTGCCCAGGGTCACACAGCTAGTAAGCATCTGAGGCCAGATTTGAACTCAGGAAGATGAGTCTTCCTGACTCCAGGCCCAGCACATGGTCCACTGAGCCATTTTGCTGCCTAGGAAGTCCCTTATACCAATAATTTCAAAGGTCCAGTCTCTCTTCTCTATATAATCAAAACAAAAAAGAAAGCAAGAAAGCAAGCAAGCAAGCAAGCAAGCAAACAAGAAAGAAAGAAAGAGAAGAGAGAGAGAAAGCAAGAGAAAGCTAAGCGCATTTGCAATGATCCCCTTCACTTCATCTCAAAATCATTGACACCATCCCCCACTCTCTTGCTTTTCAGCAGTCTCCTGCAATAAGGTAACTTTCTCTTTGCAAAGACCAACCTCTTTATATGTGCCTTTGGTCCCATTCCCTCCTACCTTCTTCAACAGGGTGCCTCCTCAATCATCTCCCCCACCCCCAGCCAATCACAGCCTCTCACTATTTACTGGTTCCTGGCATTTTGCCTTCAAACATGCCCAAGTCTCCTCATCCTTAAAAATCCTTCACTAGACTGACCCTACCATATTATTATCTTATATCTCGCCATCTTTTCTTAACCAAACTCATGGAAAATGCTACCTAAACTTGTCTCCACTTCCTTTCCCCACACTTGTTCTGCCACCCTTTGTAAGCTGGCTTTTGACCTTATCATTCAACCAAAACTGTTCCCTCAAAAGTTACCAGTGATGACTTAATTACCAGTTCTGATGGTAATTAGAAATTGAAGGGTTGTCCATCAATTGGTGAATGAGTGAGCAAGTTGTGATATGTGATTGTAATGTACTATAAGAAATGATGAGAAATTTCAGAAAAATTTGGACTTATAAGAACTGATGCAAAGTGAAGTAAGTAGAACCAGAAGAACATTATACATAGTAATAGCAATATTGTATGATGAACAACTGTGAATAAATTAGCTCTTCTCAGCAATACAATAATAGTAGACAATTCCAAAGGACTCATGATAAAAAATGCTATCCACCTCCAAAGAAAGAACTGATAGAGTCTGAATATAGACGAAAACATACTATTTTCACTTTCCTTATTTTTGTGGGGGTTTTTTGGGTTTATGTTTTCTTTTACAACATGATTAATATGGAAATATGCTTTGCATGATTGCACATGTGTAACAAATTGCTTACCATTTCAGGGAGGAAGGAATGACAGGAGAGAATTTGGAATGGAAATTTTTTTTTAAATGAATGTTAAAAATTGTTGGGTTTTTTTTTTACAAATAATTGGGAAAAATAAAATATTATTCAAAATATCAGTGAAAATAAAGGCAATCTGATAAAAAATGATTGCCTGGCAGAGGGGCAGTAAGGGATGAAGGAGAAAATTTAGGTGATGTAAAAACAATATATATCAATAAAATTTACTTTTTAAAAACAGTAAAAAAAAATCAAGGCATGACATGATGAGGACCTACAAAAGAGTTGTGTCAGTGTCAGAAGAGAAAAAGGACATAGAGGAAAGATGATACGAAGATGAAATTGACAGGGATCAGCAACATTTTGGCTATGGGGGAATGACAGATAATGAGAAATCCAAGATGACTCCTAGGTTGTGAGCCTGAGGGATAGGAGGATGGTGTTGCCCTCTCCAGCAAAGGGGAAAAGAGGAGGGAGGAGGAAAGGTAATGAGTTCCATTTTGGACATATAGAATTTAAGATGTCTATGGACACCCAATTCAAGATACCTAGAAGGCAGTTGGAGAAACAAGATTGGAGGTCATCAGATAGTTTTGGATAGGATAGTTAGATTTGAGAATCATCATTCGCAGATGATGATAATTAAATCCACTGGAGCTGATGAGATCACCAAGTGAAGTAGTATAAAGGGAAATGAGAAGAGAGCTGAGGACAGAGCCCTGAGGGACACCCATGGTTAGACGTCATGGTCTGGAAGATGGTCTAGCAAAAGAAATAGAGGAGTGGCATATAGATAGGAGAAGAACCATGAGAGAGTGATATCCTAAAAACCTAGAAAGAATAGAGTGTCAAAGAGTGGTCAACAATATAAAAGGCTGCAGAGAAGTCAAGGAAAATGAGGATTGAGAAGAGATCTTTGAAGTGGGCAACTAAGAGATCATTAGTAATTTTGGAGAGAGCAATTTTTGTGGAATAAAGTTGGAAGCTAAGTTATAAGGGGTTAATGAGAGAGTGAGAGGACAGAAAGTGGAGGCACTTATTGTAAATAGCCTTTTAGAGGAGTTTGGTTACAAAAGGCAGAAGAGATAAAGGACAATAGGGGATGGAACAATCGAGTGAGAATTTTTTCAGAATGGGGTAGAAATGGACGTGTTTGTAGGGAGTAGGAAATGAGCCAGGAGAGAGAGAGAGAGAGAGATTGAAAATAAGTGAAAGAGGGGACAATCTGTTAGAGGAGATGGGAAAGAATGGATCACTTGAATAAGTAGAAGGGTTGGCCTTGGTAAGGAGGAAAGCCACTTCATCACATGAAACAGGGGTGAAGTAGGAGAAAGTGGCAGAAGCCAGCCATGTGATAGGGGATAAGGAAACAGAGAGAAGAGGGAGTTCACAACAAATGATCTTGTTTTTTTCTGTAAAATATGAAGCAAGTTTCTCAGCTGAGAGAGTGGAGATGAAAAGTTTTAGAAAATCCACTGTGGATAGTGGGATAGGGAGTTGATAAGGGACATACAAAAGGTTGCCTAGAAGCAGCAAGGGCCCGGTTGAGGTTGGATAACAGAAATTTGTAGTGGACCCAGTCAAAATGGTTTCATGATCTTCTCAGCATGTGTGTAGGAGCAAAGGAGATGAATGATGGAAGTGACCCAAGTCTGAGGCTTAGGTGGGTATAATTGATGATATAATGAGCTGGGGATCCAAGAAAGAAAGACAGTGTAGAATTGAACTAGCTCACCAAGGGGTTCAAGAAAGGGAGAAGAGGAAAGAGTGACTAATGCAGGGAAGATGGCCTGGGAGAGAACTGAGGGGTCAAGGGATTGGAGGTCATGGAGAAGATGAAGAATAGTTTTGTAAAATAAGGCAGAGGAAGAGTTGAAAATCCAATAGATTATGGTAAGATAAGGAGATGTCAGAATTCTTGAGTATGGAGGTGATACATTTGTGGGTGATGGTAAGACCAAAGGTATGAACATTTTTGGTTATAGCTGAAGTGCTGGGGAGGAGTAGCTCAAGAGAGGTGAGTATACAGAGAAACTGAGTGGTTAGAGTATTTGAGGGAGAATCAATATATATGTTAAAGTCCTCTAGTGTGAGGACAGAGGTTGGGAAAGAAATAAAAATTGTGAGCCAGGTATCAAACTGAGGAAGGAAGAAGAGTGATTTCTGTAGACGATAGCTATCAAGATTTTGATTGGGGTAGATATAAATCACATTATCCTCAAAAGAAGGCGGGTTACTAAGAGATGGAAGGAGAAAAAACTGGAAGTGGCAATGGGGAGCAAGGAATTCCTATTCTCCCACCCCAGTCAGTGAGCTAAGAAAAATGCGTAAAAGTACAGTCAATCCTGGACAGGGTGGTCAGGGAGGCTATGTCATCAGGGGGAAGCCAGATTTCAGCAATAACTAGTAGATGGAAGGAGTGGGAGAAAAAAAGATTTAAGATGAAGGAAAGCTTACTGCCTATGGAATTCCAGGGGGAGCGGTGGAAGGGCTGGGTGGAGTTAGCTTGAAACTTTGGAGTAGGAAGGTTTAGGGGGGTAGAAATGAGGAATTGGATGGTAGGGGGTGTTGGAGCGAAATTCAGATGATAGTCTACAGGGGTTCAGACTCACTGGGATGTGAGGTTGCGATCAGGTATGAGAATGTTCATTGAGTGCAAGGCATCATGCCTTTAACCTCAAAGGATAGGCGAATCATGATACAAGAGGCTTGAAGTCAAAAGGAGAGTTGCCCTTCTTTGCAACAGAGCTTCTCCACATCCCGGCTGGGAGAGTAGGCTGGTAACAGAAGGTGGAAGTTGCCTTGTGCTGGCATAAATGGAAGTGGTTACTTTGAGGCAAGTAGAAGACTCCTGGCCTGGCCCCTAGCAGCCTGTCCTTCAGGGGGCATGCTGCACCTGGCAAGAGATGGAAGGCACAAGGTGCTGGCACGCCAGTCACTTGAGGAGTGTGGCTATGAGGCAGCAGCAGAAAGTGATACACTCTCTAAAAGGTGCCTGACCTGGCTCCTAGCAACTTTTCATCAAGGGATATCCCTCACTGCTCTCACCTCACGTGATTCAATTAGTTGCCAGATCTTGTTATGTTTATCCCCACAACACTTCTCCAGTCCTCTCCTCTCCATCAACAATGGCCACCATCATGTTCTTTTTATTTTTATCTCACCTAAATTTTTCACTAGTTGGACTCACTGTTCAGCTCACAGTTGCCTTCTAATTGCTCTCCTTACCCCCTCTCTTCCCATTCTAATATATTCATCATGAAGCTTCTGAAAAGGTTTTCTTGAAGTATAGATCTGGCTTTGTTACTGTGCTACTCAACAAATTGCAAATGCCTCCCTATTGCCTCTAGGCTAAGATAAAAACTTCATAAAAATGCTTCTACTGCCATTTACAACATTACTCCCTACAATAGCATGATACTCTTATCAAATTTTAATGTGGAAGAACCCAGGTTAGTAGATAGATTTACATTTGCCATATGTAAGCCATGTCTTCTTCCTTTCTCCCTCTGCATCATATAAAAACGGCATGCAGGGAAAAAAAATTTGATATATCACATTAGCTTTTAAGGTATCTACTAATCCTGTCCAGTGTTATAAAATAGTTCAATTGTAATTGTATAGATGGTAATCTTTTGCACAGTTGGCAACCAGAAATTTATTGTTGTATATTGTAATTCACTGTCACATTAGAGTGATAAACAAGAACCAAGTCCGTTTTTGAAGCCAGTGAATTTCACGAAATGTCACTATTTCTAGTTACTAAGGGTCTTTCTTTTTTCCCCGGCTCAGGTGCTGTCTTATCATGCAACATGTTCAAAAGCTGAAGTTGACAAATTTAAGGTAAGGAATTTAAGGGTAAATAAAACCCCAAACTCACACATACCCAATCCATGCTCCCTTCCCCACTTACTCCCATACTTATCCCTTTCTTTGCAGTGATACATCTCTCTGACATTAACCTTAGATATTCAGTGTTGAAGAGGACTTTTAGAGAGGGAGGAAGGGCAATCTTGCAATTGGAAGAAATGTATGCATAAAATACAGTGGCCTTTTTACAAGGCTGCTTTATAGACTTTTTATGTGATTCAACCCTAGTCTGTTCCCCTTGGCAAGGGGAAGTAGTTATTAAATGAATTAATTAAGAAGGATTTTGAAGTGTCAGGATCTGTGCTGGGGAGATAACAAACAGCAAAAGCTTAACAGTCTCTGATCTAGAGACTGGTAGAAACAATTGATAAGAGCGTAGATAAAGATATGTATAGATATACATGATATGTATACACATATATTTATGTTTATATGTCTATATGTACACCTATATTTACATTTATCATTACATACATATATGCATATATTTACATTTATATACACATGTATTTATATATACATACATACACATAAGTAGAAACAAAGTATATAGAAAGTAACTTGACCTTTCCGCTGGCTCCGCCATATTCCAGTGAGCTACCAAAATGATGAACGCAAAAAGAAAAAGGAGAGGGACCCCCTACACATTTTCTAGGCCCTTTCAAAAACATGGTGTTGTCCCTTTGGCTATGTATATGTGAATATACAAGAAAGGTGATACTGTAGATATCAAAGGTATAGGCACAGTTCAGCAAGGAATGCCCCACAAATGTTGACATGGCAAGACTGGACGGGTCTATCACGTTACTCAACATGCTGTAGGCACTGCTGTAAACAAACAGGTTAAGGGTAAGACTGTAGCCAAGAGAATTAATGTGCGTATTGAGCATATTAAGCATTCCAAGAGCAGAGACAGCTTCCTGAAGCACGTGAAGGAAAATGATCAGAAGAAGGAAGCCAAAGAAAGAGGCACTTGGGTTCAACTGAGACATCAGCCTGCTTCACCCAGGGAAGCACGCTTTGTGAGAACTAGTGGCAAGGAACCTGAGCTGTTGGAACCGATCCCCTATGAATCCATGGCATAAATGGCTGTAAAATAAAACCAATAAAAAGAATTCTTGGGTTAAAAAAAAGCAACTTGAAGTAAATTTAGAAGGCAGGTAGATGGTGAAGTGGATAGTGTGCTAGGTCTGGAGTCAGGAAGACCTGAGTTCAAATCTAGCCTCAGACACTTACTAGCTATATGACCCTGGGCAAGTCACTCAACCCTGTTTGCCTTAATCCACCGAAGAAAGAAATGTCAAACCACTCCAGTATCTTTGCTGAGAAAACTCCGTGGCCAGTGTGGTCCATAGGATCACAAAGAGTCAAATACAACTGAACAACAAAGAAGGAAATTTAGGAAGCACCAGTACCTGAGTAAGCGTCAGCAAACATGTCATGTGGGAGATAGCCTTGAGCCCTCAGGAGGGACTAAATTTACTGACTGAGAAAACCAAGGCTTGGAAAGACCAACATGCAGGGTAAAACAGTAAATATAATCTTTTGATTGGCAAGAAGAGAAAAAAGGGTAGGAATTAGTGGAGTAAAACAGAGGTCATACTTCCACTAACCATAACTATTTGAAACATACCTGTCATCCTAAAAGTAAGAAGAAAAAGAGCTCTGAGCCCCAAATAACTGACTGTAAGCCATTGACCTTCAAGCTGGAAGAGGTGAAACCACTTTCCCACCTTCATCCAAGCAATTACTTCCAGTAAGTAGAAGAGCAGCAACTAAAACTGTAACAATAGCAGAGAGGAAACAGAAAACCCACAGGAAAACAGAAGGTTTGAGATTTTCAGAGTTAGGTGTAAACATTCCAACACACCCTTAGGTTTTGTTCAGTCATTGTTCAGTCCTATCTGACTCTTCATGACTCCATCTGGAATTTTCTTGGTGAAGATACTGGAGTGGTTTGCCATTTCCTTCTCTAGCTAATTTTACAGATGAGGAAACTGAGGCAAATAGGATTTAGTGATTTGCCCAGAGTCACATGGCTAGTAAGTGTTTGAACCTGGATTTGAACTCAAGTCTTTGTGACTCTAGGCCCAGCACTCTATCCATTGTACCACCTAGCTGCCCACATGCCCTAGAAAATACCTCCTAAGGTCATCACTATATTATGGCCCAGTAGAAATGTTGTTCATAACAATGTCCCTAAGTCTTAGAATCACTATTTTCCCTCAAATGATTCTCAATCCACTCATCCAACTGCTAAGACACTCCTTGAATTACTTTGTGTTTACTCCATACATATTTTATATTTATTTATGTGTGTGTGTTGTATCCTGCAGTAGAAGGTAAGTTCCATAAGGGTCAGGACTGCTTAATTTTTGCTTGTGCCTAGCATAATTCCTAAGACATAATAGATGCTTAAATGTTTATAGAACTAATCAACTAATTACTTAAGAAATTGTCGACTGTGTATACTCTTTTGGAATGAATATACTATATATATTTTTAAATTATTTGTATGCAAAGTAATTAACATAAAAAGAAAACTTCAGCATTTTTCTTTTCCTTTTTTTTTTTTTGTGAGACAGTTAGGGTTAAGTGACTTGCCCAGAGTCACACAGCTAGTGAGTGTTATGTGTCTCAGGCTGCATTTGAACTCAGTTCCTCCTGACTCAGGTCTGGTGCTCTACCCATTGCATTACCTAGCTGCCCCCAACTCTGGCATTTTTCAGGGCAAAAAATTCATTCACTTCTGTGGAATACTTCAGTCCTCCATGACACCAGAAAATGAGGTGTTATGATTTTATTAATAATAATAAATATAATAGAAAGAAGACAGAAGGAAGACAACAAGGCTGAGGAAGGAATAATAAGGGATATTTTGTGGGACATGTCAAGAGGCTGAGGAAGTCACAGTACACAGATGTCTGGTCTACAGCAAAATATTGTCTTTTATGCTTTGGTTTACATCCTTTGTAGGATTTGCCAGGTTTTTCTACTATCTAATTTTATCTTCCAAAATATGAGGTATTCAAATTTTAGAGCAATAGCTTATTTCTTTTTAAGATCATTAAGATTATTAACTTACCTAATTTATACCAGGCATTATTCTGCAAGAAGAGAACTGGTAACTCATAATAATACAATTGAGATACAGTGAATAATTATAATCTAACAATTTTTTCTTGATGTAGAAAGTAAGTAAAATACTCTTATAATTGTTAGTTGATGTGTGTTATAACTATAGCAATAAGACCAAAATACATATGGCCTTAGAAACAATATTGATCAGGGAGAGTCAGGGGCATCATTCTCTGCCTGGGCATTCACAAGAGTAGTTCCAGAGTATTGTTAATGAATTACGGTAAATAAATGCTTTGATTTGACCATCTATATGTAGAAGATTTATGCCTACACTAATGCACATCGGTTTCTTTGCCAACTAGAGAATATGCAGAATGTTTTATGGTAATGAGAGTCAGTGTAGTAAAGTAGATGGAGTGTTGGAATTAGTGTCTGGAGACCTGGGTCAAAATGCTAGCCCAGATATTTAATAGCCCTGTGATCTTGGCAGGCTGGTCAACCTCTCACAGCCTCAGTTTCTTCATTCTTAAAAGAGGAATAATAATATTTATATAGGTGTGATGAAGAGGAACCGTTTAACAGTTTCCTGAATCTTTCTTTAATAAGGTAGAATTCCTTTGATAAGGTTTACTCTTCATTAAAAACTTTAAAATACATGATCATTTTTTTTCTGGCATTTATGATGTTTTACTGATAAGACATAAACTTGCCTTGCCTTGGGCCAGGTCAGTTTCAGAGCATTCTTTGGACTTGAGCTTTGAAAGAGGGGTACTAGACAGGCATACAGCAAAGGAAGTAGGAAGAACCAGAGTTAAGATAGCCAGAGAAAAAACGTTCTGACACCAACAGGCTCTGATGCCCTGGAGGGAAGCCTTGGCTTTCCTATGACAGTTTTTGCAGTTTCTAACCTGAAGGCTCTAGAAATGATAGAAGAGGTGGTTCAGTGGAAAGAACACCAGCCCTGAACTCAGGAGGGCTTGTGTTCAAATCCAGCCTCAGACACTTACTGGCTGTATGATCCCAATTGCCTCCAAAAAATGACAGAAGAAAGACGTAACAGTGGAGCAGCAAGAACTTCTTAGATCAATCTGGGAATTGTAGGATCAAGTATCAGGAAACATGGAGACAAATGAGCCGAATGATAGAGGAGCTCTTAGGACACAATTCCTGGACCAAAACTTCTATACCTGCAGTAGGAGATCCTGAACAATGAAAAAAAATCCTGGACCAGGTGGAAGCTAAAGCTAAGAAATGGCCAAGGACAGAACCATGATGTACCAGAGCAAATCTGGACTTTGCTTCATTTGTACAGTGAGTTATATGGACTGTGAAGGTCCAGGGAAAAGAAGCGACTCTCTAGTGACTCCAAGTGCTTCCTTCTCCCAATGGGAGTCCTCAATCTCAAGGTAGTACTATACATTTCAAGGATTGTATCAGTCCCTTGGGGAGGTGGAACTCACCACATGACTTTATTGCTACCCCAGATACTTTCCCTTTGGTGTGAGAGATAGAATGCATAGCTCAATTCTGGAGAAATATTATAAGTGTGGAAGATTATATTATAATATTAGTTCACTGACAGAGAACAGGCCAAACATAAAGGGAAGAAGTGTCAAGATGAGTGTTGTCAAACTCAAACAGAAACTGGAGGCCACTAAACCATACATAAGGATACCTGTGAGACACACACACTGACTTTGAGAACCACATATTAACATTATCTAAGTTCTATTGCATTTTTATTCATTTTGTTAAATTCTTTCCAATTACATTTTAATCTGGCTCCCATACTTGAGAGTACTGCCATCTACCAATGGCTGATGCTTCTTATCTGGGTAATTTATGGACTTGAGTGTAAATCCATTGTATTTTACATTTCTTGTTGGATTAAG